GGGGGAGAGACAGAGAGAGAGAGAGAGAGAGAGAGAGAGAGAGAGAGAGAGAGACTGCACAAACACATGCTTACCAGTGTTTGTGTGGAAGTCAGAGGACAACTTTTAGGAGGTGGTTCTCTCCTTCCACCATGTGGGTCTGGAGATGGAACTCAGGTCCTCAGGCTTGGTGGCAAATATCTTTACATGCTGAGCCATTTTGCCTGTCCTGGCTAGAGTATTTTTATCATAGCAACAGGAAAACAAGCTAAGACATATTAATTCATTTCATCCTCACAGGAACCATAGGCTCAGGTCCCATGATTATTATTCCTCTTTTACATGTGTAGAAAACTATGGGTCAATGAGGATGAGCACCTTGCTCAACTTTATACTGCAGGGAAGGGGCAGTCTGCCTTTTCTGTTCATGTTATTGTTATTATTAGTTTTTGGTCTTTTTGAGACAGGGTCTCCCTGTAGCCCCAGCTGGTCTGGAATTCACTATGTAGACCAGGCTGGCCTAGAACTCACAGAGATCCTCCTGTCTCTGCCTGCTGAGTGCTGGGACTAAAGGCTTGTACCACCACGCCCGGCTTCTGTTCATATTATCTTTAAAAATTTATTTATTTATATTTTTTGTGTATGAGAGTTTTGCCTGCATGTATATACATGCACTTGTGCATGCAATGCCCATGAAGGCCAGAAACAGGTGTTGGATTTCCTGGAATTGGAGTCACACATTGTTAGCCACCAGATGGGTGCTGGGAACTGAACCTGGATCTTATGGAAGAGCAGCCAGTTAATTGCTAAGCCATATTTCCAGTCCCATCTACCCATATTCTGTTTTTATTTTTATTGTTATTTGTTTTTTTTGAGACAGGGTCTCCCTGTAGCCCTAGCAGGCCTGGAACTTGATATGACCAGGTTGACCTTGATCTCACAGAGATCTACCTGCCTCTGCCTTTGGATTAAAGTGTACACCATCACGTCTGGCTTTAATTAATTAATTAACTAATTTATTTATTTTTTTGTCTTTTTGAGACAGGGTTTCTCTGTAGCCTCAACTGGCCTGGAGCTCACTATGTAGACCAGGCCGAACCTGAACTCACACAGATCCACCTATCTCTGCTGCCCACGTGCTGTAATTAAAGGCATGTGCCATCATGCCTGGCTTGATCTATTTATTTTATGTGTATGAGTGTTTTGCCTGCATGTATGTAAGTGCACTCATGTCATGCAGTGCCTGCAGAGGCCAGAAGAGGGTATTGGATCCTCTAGAACTGGAGTTAAGGATAGTTGTTAGCTGCCATATGGGTGCTGGGAACTGAACCCCAGTCCTCTGCAAGAGTAGTCAGTGCTCTTAACTGTTGAGTCATCTCTCCACCTCCTTCCTTTAATTTTTTTAATTGAAGATTTTGTTTATTTTTATTTCATGTGTGTGAGTTTTTTGCCTGCATGTAAGTGCATGGTGTGTATAGTGTGAAGATGGCATCAGATCCCTTAGAACTGGAGTTACAGAAGGTGGTAAGCCATCATGTGGGTGCTGGGAACTGAACTCAGGTGCTCTGGAAGAGTAGCCAGTGCTCTTAACCATTGGCTCATCTCTTCAGCCCCTTATTTCATATTACTTTGTAGTTTTCTGATTTTGTGGCTGGCCATACCAGAAACTTTTTTTAAAATTTTATTTATTATTTTTATTTTATATGTTTGCATGTATTGCCTGCATGTAGGTAAGTGCACCCGTGTCATGCAATGCCTGCAGAGGACAGAAGAGGCTATCAGATCCCCTGGAACTGGAGTTATATTCAGTTATTAGTTGCCATGTGGGTGCTGGGAACTGAAAGAGCAGCCAGTGCTCTTAACCGATGAGCCATCTCTCCAGCCCCAATTAAAAAAAAAAACAAAACACAAATAAGAGTCTTGATTGTTATAAGGAAAACTTATCTGTGGTTATCACCAGATAGAAACCCCAATGTTTTTCCTGTAGGACCTATATAAGCCAGAAGTTATCTTTTGAAAATTCCATAGTTTCCACCTATCTCTCCTGCAGGAGTTGTGCTTTATAATCTCTACAGGTCCCCTTTTGTCTAAGTGGTCTCTCAAGTCTCACAAGTTCATTGGCCCTCTCCATAGCTTGAAAACAAGCCTAGCCTTGCTTTAGTGCAGGGATGGAGAGGAGTGATGTAATATAAAACATATTGATAAAACTGTCATGTGCTGCTTAAACTTACTGAGAAGCTGGCTCTGGAAGCAGGGTAGACTCCTTCCCTCATATTTTTTGACCCAAGCATTTTTATTTCAAAGCATCTGGTGACAGGGGACAAGGAGAAAAGCAAAAACAAATAAACAAAAAAAACCTAAGAGTGAAAACATTGTGCTCATACAGCTGGGTGTGGTGGCACATGTCTTTAGTCCCAGCACTCGGGAGGCAGAGACAGGCAGATATCTGTGAGTTCAAGGCCAGCCTGGTCAACATAGTGAGTTCACTCGGGAGGCAGAGACAGGCAGATCTCTGTGAGTTCAAGGCCAGCCTGGTCAACATAGTGAGTTCTAGGCCAGCTGGGGCTACAGGGACACATTGTACTCTTGAGAACAGCTAGAAGGTAAATCCATTTCTAACAGTCGTTCCTATTGTTTATCATGGGGTATAAACCTGCTGGCAGTGGGAACAAGAAACCAGTTCATTGATGGTGAGACTCAAATTGAGAACTATGGCATGATTGCTTCTTTCTCAGTCACTTTCTGCTGAATGTTGTAAGCCTCCATGTAACAACGTGACCTATTTTTCTCTCTCGGTCATCCCTGCTGGATGTTGTAGGTGCTCAGTTGGATGATGTTTTGCTGTCCACTGCTTCTACTGTTTATTCTTTTACTTCTGCTTGCTACAGGCTTAATAAACCCACTCATTTGAAACTGAAAGTACAGCTATCATTGATTATTCTTTGGACTACACAGAACAAGTGACCATGTAGGTGAACTGGGGACAGAAAAACCCAATTGTCCTAACAGAAAACCAAATTGTCCTGCCTGGCACCCAGGACTCTTTCTTCCTGGCTGGTCTGGCAGGCCTGGTGGCCTGGCTGCCTGTGTTGCTTCCTGCTCATCCCTTCAGCCCTTCCTTTTCTTTCCCTAGTTTTGGTCTGCCTTTCTTCATTCCCTCCCCTTTCCATCCCAGCTGTGGGAGTGAGGCCCCAGTCCTGGCAGGCTAGAGTCAGACAATGAGCTCTTATTCTGGGCAAAGAATCTGTGTAGTGTCTCCCACCCACTGAGACCCAGGCTGGTGTGGGTGTGGGGTAGAAAGTGGCAGGGCTTTGTGTGTTTGGGTGGGGGGGTAGAAGCAACTGGTTGGCAGGACAGAGAATGGCTTGGCTATGGAGATCCCTCAGGGAGTTTACTATGTAAACACCACTCACAATAAAAGCCTGTCTTCCACTCCCAGCCCCATGTCTCCCAGTGGTCTCTCTCAAGCCTCACATTTTGAGCTTTTAAGCATCTACCCTGGTCTCTTTTGCTGTCCATTTCTGCATATTACGATCTCTTTCCTTCTTTCTTGTCTCTTTCCTAAAGATGCTTGCTGTCTGTTGCTTTTTATTTTTTGAGACAGCATCTCACCATGTGTCCTTGATGGCCTGGAACTTGCTGTGTAGCTAGAACTAGTTTTGAACTTCATCAGTCCTACTGCTTGTGCCTTGTGAGGGCTGGGATTGCAGGTGTGCACCACAACACCCTTCTCTGTAGTCCTTTGTTTAGCTTTCTATCTCTATTTCTTATCTCTCTCATCCCATCAAGCTCCTTTTCTTGCCACATTAAAAAACATTATTATTTTTAAATTTTTATTTATTATTTTTATTTTATATGTATGCATGTATTGCCTGCATGTAGGTAAGTGCACCAGTGTGGTGCAATGCCCGAAGAGGTCAGAAGAGGCTGTTGGATCCCTTGGGACTGGAGTTACGGACAGTTGTTAGCTGCCATGTGGGTACTGGGAT